CACACACACACACAAATCCATTTTCGCTGTCACCTTTCAAGTCCAGTAATTTGCATTTGGGAGGTAACAGATGAGAAATAGCTCCTCTGTTATTGAGAAAGAAAATGATTTCCTGTTACTGTCTTGCAACCAATTCTCAGATTATTTATCTTTAACACCCCCAAATACCCCATACTAAGGACTGTCACTGCTGATTCTCAGTTGGYTAAGCACATTGGATTAGCAGGACACCATTTTCCCACCACTGCCCACACTGTGCAGTAGGATTTATAAATTCCAATGAATATTTCTGAGCTGGACATTGGTCAGTGTTATTGTTTGTAAATGTAAGAGAATCCCCATCTCTAACAGAGGTGATACTRACAAATGGAGCGGAGATGGACCGGCTGAACATCGTACTGCTCTCCGGAGAGATCAAATCATTGAGCCACAGATCACGGCTGAAACATTTTTGTTTGCCTTCTGTTCTCTATTCACTGCTCTTCTTCCATTTTTTTAAAAGTCAAACGGGTAATTTTCCACTTTATCATTTTCATACAAACATTGTCATCTCTTCTTTTCTTTTCAAAATAAGAGCGTAAACATAGATTAGTTGGTTTGTAGATGACAAAAGGATTTTTAACTATAAAGTTTTAAATGCAAAAATAGCTGTTTATAGGTTTTAAAGACTAAAATATGTACTAAAAGTAATATTGTATTAATCAAGGATTTTATATTTTTGTTTGATAGACTTATTCTTGATCATTGCCATAAATTTAGTTACTGTAATGGCATTTTTTATAAGAAATACTTAGATAAAAAAATATTAAATAAARTCATCCATCCCTTATGTTGTAAGCTCACACCAGTAGTAATGATGGAAAGTAAAATCTTGCCCGATCACACTAATCAAGTTTTAGTTGATATTTTCATTAAACCATTGCGTCATCTTCAAAATGTTAGTTTTCTTGCTGATTTCCTTAAGATCCTAGGATTTCATGGCTTCTGATGAAAAGTCTTGAAAYTTTCAACAGTCTTACTTTTGGATAAATTTTCTGGGACATCCACTCCTGGGAAGATTGGCAGCTGTCATTCGCATTTCCCACTTCTGAATAACCTTTCTCTCTGTGAAATGACGGACTCCAAATTGTTCGGAAATGGCATTTCAAGCCCCAACAGATTGGTGGCACATATAATTGCTTCTGTAATATTTTTGCTGATGTCTTCCCTCCTTGGTATTCTGGTAATGCACATCCTGAATGCTTCAGAGAAGCAAACTATTAAAACTTTTATAGAGGTGCTCACACTTGCTGTTGAACAATTCATCAGTTGTATTTCATTAGCAGCTTTGGTCTGGGATTAGCCCTCTTAATTTCAGTCAAAGAAGTATAGGGTGTTTTAATTACTGCTCAGTTTTAGCTCAGTAAATGAYATGTGTCAAGTATAACATTACCCTAAGTTTAATATTTTGTAGAAAAACAAAAATGTTTATTTTCCTGATACATARGATAACTGAATAAATGAGGTTTTGTATTTTTGAAACTGAGTAAATAGCATAATTTTGAAACTGATGCTGTAGTAAATTGATAAAAACACTGCAAAATAAAAGTCATGTATTCCTTGAAGGAATACATATCACCCACTGCTTTTCATGTTGGTTGTGACCAACATAACATTGTGTGACATTGCAAAATGTTATCATTAAGGTTTGTATTGTGAATGATTCTCAGCTACTATCAATTAAAATTATAGCTCAATACCTGTAAAATTGACTGAGTTATCAATGTTTTTGTGTTGGATAATACCAACTAGATGTGGCACCGTTTTGAATTTAATTATCTCCAAAATGTAATCAGTTGTGTATGTATGTTTGATGATTACATTCTCAAAGTCCCATTTAAATCTGTCCTGGGGTTTAGTAGGTATTTTGCAAAAGGACAAGCAGGGTTGATTCCAATAATTAATGCAAAATTTTTAAACTGAGATCTTGAGCAATTTGTAGCAATTAGAGTACATAAAATTGACTGTACTATAAGCCATATTTATGTTTTCTAGGATCAGCTGGTTGTGGCAGCCATCTTCCATTCATTTGGCTCCAAAAGTTGCTGTATTTTCCTGACTATTAGCTGCTTTGGAGTATATGTCACATCAGTCAAAAAATGTGTCACGAATAGGAAAAAAAGCATATATAAGTTGCTTCTGACTATAAATCTCAGAACAGATATTTAATCTGGAATARCACACAGAACATAGCTCCTGTCTGCTGAATATGGCCTTAACTAACAGACAAATAAAACAGAAGAGAGTAATGTGAATCGTTTGCAACGACCTTAACATTTTTATCCCACACAAGTTCAACCAACCAACATCTGCAGCAAGAAACCAAAAAATAAGTTACAGTACCAACAGCAAGCTAACATTAGCTACCATTATTACAGGATGGCTTCAGGCCTCCCTTGCAAAAGAAATCTGTGAACTCAATGGGATTTGCTTTATTTAAATAAAGGTTAATTAAATAAAGGTTAATGAAATTATTAGCTTACCGCCCTTTGTCGTCCTGCCCTCTCATCATAACCATCAAACTGCTGGATARTCCCGTACAGTCTTTAGTACTTTTCCTTCAGGTTTGGTGTAATCCATTATTGTTGYGTCACAAATAGAACAAAGTATTTGCACRTTTGAAATATTTTTGATTTACGCCAATGCCTACAACAAGGCGGCTCTCTGCTTAATGCAAACACAATCAGCTGGGCCCAATGCAGTCCAACAATCAAGTTACCGGTAAATTCACGTGATTAGCTTTCACTGCAGTAAGAGTAACTTCTGCTTTTCTCCGGTCCCTCAAAAGTTCCCCATTCACTTCAGACTTTCTTTCGCATTCTTTCTTTCAACCTAAATTGCAGTTACACATGCTTAGAGCACCCTCTCATGGCCTCAGACTGTAATGTTTACTCCTTACTCCCAGTGTMAGTCAGTATGAACCAAATGCATCATGAAATGGAAAAACATAAATAAGTTGCTTTAGAYTATAAGTTGCAGGACCAGACAAACTATGAAAAAAAAGTGTGACCTATATTCCAGAAAACACGGTAATCATTTTCAGAGATCTATGTAATAATTATTTCAAGAAGGTTTCATTGAATTTTGTATTAATCTGTCTGAAATTTTAACCAGAGGTTTTATAAATTGTTTTGCAAACACACAAGAGTTGACACCAAATAGTGACAAATGTTTTACAAAAATCTCAGTCTGTTAGTGATCTTTGTATGTATGGTGTTAATGATCAGACTCAATTATTACCCCATAAATTTTAGATCAGCATCAGTAAAATTATAGTCATTTTTAAAGTCCATTGGTTGTGGCAGCCATTCTGACTGACTGGCTTCAAAGGTTAATCMGTTGTATATGCACTTCTTATTGTTACTGTCTGCATGTTTTWTTTAAATTTGTCCAGTGTACAATAATAATATACGAACTGACAGATAAATGACCAGTTGTACAGACACTGGCAAAAACCATATTGCTCGTCTTGTGCCTTTTGGCAGCTGGTGATAAAGTCTTAAAAGCAACTGAGAAGAATTTTCCTTAAAGTATATTTTGTGTTTAGGGCATCCTGGGACTSAGTCTGTACCAGTGGAAGGTGATGACATATGGGGACTACACCTACCCCACCTGGTCCATGGTWATGGGCTGGCTCATGGTCATTTGCTCTGTAATCTGGATCCCCATCATGTTTGGCATTAAAATGCACCTGGCCCCCGGCACCTTAACTGAGGTAATAATTGAGATGAAGCTGTGGTGAAACATTGTCACGTATATTGTTTTTTTTTTTTGTTGTTGTTGTTCTCTCTCACCCCCTCCCCCCACTCACACGCGCACACACGCAAACACACACGCGCGAGCGCGCACACACACACACACACAGACAGTCTAGGGAATCAATAGTCTCATCCTTCTCTCATTAGCACAAAGAGGAAGGCTGCAGGCTGAGGATTAATTTGAACATATTTCTGGGAGTCCTCTGAGTCTCTTTTAAACACTTTGATTAATGGATGATGATGATGGTTTTTGTCCAAACATCTTTATTTTCACGTTTTTGACAGCAGCCTCAGCTGCAGATTATTTTCTAAAATATGTTGTTGTCTGGGARCCTTTTAACAACATCTGATTCTTATTTATTAATTGATCCCTGTCTTTATTTCCACCTATCTCTGTTCTTGTAAATCCCTAGATGTTCTTTAGTCAAACTGACCTACATCCGTTGCTACTAAACAATTAACTGGAATCTTTGGTTATACATTACTCTTGTTTTCAAACCCTTTACCTTAACATTCAGTTTGAACTTTTAAAATCCTGCCCTTCCTCAAGTATATTCCTGGCATAATTTCATCTTTTAGCATTCCAACTTTATGAYTGTAGTCCATCTCTGTTTTCAACCTTCCTCAATATTTATTATGTCTCAATATTTTAACTGTTTCCAAGAGCTCTCATGCCTTTTCATATTGCTTTTGACGTCAATAATTTATTCTTCTTACTTGCCAGAAACTGATCAAAATTGASAGTTTTTAGACTGAGGCATACCCAGAGACATAAGTGGAGCACGCAAACGCCACACTTAAATTCATACCAGGAAAAATAGTATAAAACAACCTGGAATACAAATCCATTGCCTTCAGAAATTCTCAACTCTTGAACGTTTCTACATTTTGCCACATTACAACTGCTAATMTCAAAATATTTTACTGAAATTATGTGTGCTGGACCAACACAAAGCAGTGCATACATGTGGGGTTAAAGGAAAAGGAAACATGGCTTTAAAAAATGTTAAGAAAYGAAAATGTGAAAAATATGATGCACATTTAAATTCAGCCCWCTTTTTTCTGATGTACCTTACTAAAGCTCAATAAAACCAGTCACCTTCAGAAATTACTCAAATAGTAAAYCAGACACAGCATAGCTGTTCTGTGAAGGCCTCAGTGGTTTGTTACAGAGCATTATTAGTGATCAAACAACGTAATGGAGACCAAGGAACAAACCAGATATGTCAGAGATAAAGTTAATGAGAAATTTGGTGTAGGGTTATGTTATAAAACAACCAAGCTTTGAACACCTCATGGAGCACTATTCAATCCATCATCCGGAAATGGAAAGAGTATGGCACCACAGTAAACCTGCCAAGACAAGGCCGTCCACCTAAACTTACAGGCCGAACAAGGAGATCACTGATCAGAGAGGCAGCCAAGAGGCCCATGGTAACTCTGGATGAGCTGCAGGGATCCACAGCTCAGGTGGGAGATTCTGTCCACAGGACAACTATTAGTCATGCACCCCACAAATCTGGCATGGCAAGAAGAAAGCCATTATCTAAAGAAAACTATAAAAAGTGCTTTTTGCTGTTTGCCATAAGGCATGTAGGAGACACCACTAATGTCTTCCACCAYAAAAGCTGCTCTTTTCAGATCAGACAAGAACTGGAATTTTTGTCCTAAAAGTCTTTTTGTCCTAAAAGTAAAATGTGGTGAAAAACTAAAGAGCATAGAATACTTGATCCAAAGGCAAACAGTTGACATCTGGTCACATGGTTACAAAATGCTACTTTTAGCACAGAACTTTCGTAGTTCATGAGACACACAATGCAGAACTCCTGAAAACCCCTMCCACAGGTGTACACATCCCAACACTGGATTCTTCCTGCTTTCTGTCATTCGGCCACAAATCTGTCACATACAAAGCGCCACACTTTTTGGTAGAAGGATTCCTTTCTCCTTATAATGTCTGAGCTATCTCCAACCATGAGTTTTTGACCATTTGACTCTGGTTATGATGAGTGTGGATAGATAAAGTATCCAAATGAGTGGGGGCCTCGTAAGTGGGCCCACTGCTCTCCCCAAAAAGACAGTGGTCTTTATTGAAACCTTTGTGACCCTTGGATGAAGGACATGAGGTTAGAAACACTCAGTCTTCTGAGCTTCATGGGATCCATAAAGGGGTCCCCAAGAATTCTTGACCATTTGACTATCTTTATAAGTGTCTAGAAGAGTCATATGGGTGGGACGTGCTTTCTGATTTCCTTGGACGACTTCTCCTCAAAACTATCCATATTGTTTGGACACAAAACAGCTGACTTCTAGAAGCAGAGTACTTGAAGTAAAATGTTACCGTTGTGGCAAACACACCCATGAACTTCTGACCAATCAAACCATTCTTGGTGCATTTGCTTGTGAAAACAACTTTGGACCAAATCCTGTGTTGATAATGGGGCAGGCAAAGAAACCTGAAGTGAGAGCCATTTTCGCAGCCTCGGATGGGGTATGTAGGGCCCATAATGCAGCACATCAACCTGAACACACCCTCCCCACTATGAAACATGGTAGTGGCAGAATCATGCTGTGGGAATTATTTCCTTTAGCGGAGACAGGGAAGCTATTTAGTGGGAAAATGAATAGACAGTCTTGGACGAAAACGTGTTGGAGGATGGAAAAGACTTGAGACTGGAGTGGAGGTTATATTAACAGCAGGACGAGTACCAGAAACACACAAGCAGACCTATAAAGCAATATTTTACATCAAATCATACTCATGTGATAAAATGGCTGTTAAAAATCTTAAGTAGGAACAGATAAATGGAGATTTCTTCAGTTGAGTAGCTGCCAGCTCACAGACAAGTCTAATCCATATTGTTTGCAGATTGCTCACAGTGTTCTGTGTCGTCAATGTCTCAGTTATATACAGTTTCAAATGGTTACACAGCAGGTTTTAAAACATGCCTATTAAAATTCTGATGAACGACAAGCACAATGGTTTCATAAATCAGTAGGCTCCCAATGCCTTGCATGACTTTAGATGTTTCCATTACTCTGAGAATACAACAAACATCAAGCTTTGCAGGCTTTGGGGTGTGGTACCGCTTTGATTGAAATTTATTGAGACCCAGTAAAAAATTCAGTCTTATTCCAACTGAGATTCTGTGGCAAAACTTGAAAACTATACTGTTCAGACACTCCCCATTCAATCTGACTGAGATGAAGAATGGTCAAAAATTTCAGTCTGTAGATGTGGAAAGCTGATAGAGMCTCACTCCAAAAGACTTGCAGCTGGAATTACAGCAAAAGGTGTTTGTTCGCAGTACTGACTCAGGTGAGCTGAATACAAATGCACAATACACCTTTTAGATGTTTATATGTATCAATATCCTTCCTCTTCTCAATTATTTACTGCTTTTTTTGCACCATCACATAAAATCCCAGTAATACTTTGCAATTTGTGGTTGTAATGTGACAAAATATGTAAAGGTTCAATGACAGTACAAGGCAATGATGTATAACTGATTCATCTGTAAGAAACACATTTCTTTTCCCTCCTTTCAGCGTCTGAAGTTGGTCTGCTCCCCTCAGCCCGACTGGGGCCCTTTCCTGATGAAGCATCGTGGGAATCGCTACAAAAACATGATTGACCCATTAGGAACCAGCTCTCTGGGTCTGAAACTGCCCCCAAAGGACTTCCAGCTTGGCTCCTATCAGTAGCAGCCRTCCAGGCAGTTTCCAACCCTTTCAGGAGGCACTGGGAGTGGGGGGTGGATGCCTGCCTCCAGGCTGCCGTTTCCACCACCTCTACCTCCTCACTCTCTTTTTTTTGCATCCCGCTTCACTCTATTTGCTTCKTCTCTGTACTGTGGATGTGGAAACAGGCTTTCCTCTTCCTTTACCTCTTCACTATTCCCTGTCTTCTCTCAGGGAGGAGTGGCTGCCCRAGTGGAGTCTGCTCTTCCGCTGCTACTTTGTACTCAGTTAATGAGCAATCATTGCCTCCCACACATGACCATTGATTACTCCAGAACCCCTCTCCCAGGGAACTCATTCCAAGAGAAAAATCGTGTCATAAAATAWCAAAGCTCAGACTGCACTTGCAATATGAGACTCAACATAGCTACTCCCTGAGGAGTCGTGTCTGTTTGTGGGTGTGTGTACGCGGTGTGCTTTTGTATGTGTGGGTTAAATTTGCGTGTAGAGATAATGAATCATATTGGTGCAAGCAGACATAAAAAAGYGAAACCATTAAACAAACAAAACAAAAATAAATTAATGAAATATATATATATATATATGAAGGTTTGCTAAGCCCAGTGGGGATCTGGGTTGATTCTATTTGTGTATAAAATTGTATCAGTGTTATAAATACACTCAACAGCTTCGGAAAAAAGGTTAAATAAAGAGACTGTATGCTCTGTTATCAGATTTAGTTCCAGTTCTGCAGTCAATATTTATAGTCATATGAACTACTGCTCAGTTGCTCTTGCCTTGTCAAAAATAGACTACAAGACTTGTAATTTGTGCCTCCTATCTCCCAGTAGAGTAGCAAATGCATCCCGATTACCAATTTTGCAACATACACACAGTGGTGCGATAGAAGCTTGGATTTATTTCTCTTGCTCAACCTGAGGGACTATATGTGATACCTTCTATCTTTGTCTACTCATTAAGTTCCACTTGTATTATCCAAGAATATAAACTAGCACCATCCCAGTGTAGAGAACTATTAGAATTGTCGATTCAGCGTTTTGGTAGGTGATAATGTGGCCAAATAACCCTTTCAGGTCTCAAATGCTGACCTCATAGTCACTCTGTGCATATATTTTAGATGTCTATTTATAACTCTATGTGTTGTGACTTTATCAAGCCATTTGTGTGCATCACATCAGGAAATTAAAAACACAAATTATATAAATATATATATAACTATATACACATATTGATGATAAAACATATATATGAATATATATCTAGCTTCCAGATGAGGACACAGCTAGCAAGACAGAGACTGCGAGTGTTTGTGTGTGTGTGTGTCAGTGTTGCTAAGCTGTAATGTTTTGTAACAAAGTGCACAATATGAGGAGCTTCTATGTGTGAGTAAATGAAACTTTAGTGTAGAAAACAACCTTTGAGGAGATGTGTGTGTCACCACTTGTTTTGTGTTCTAGAGCTCTGGACGCCTCATTGTCATTTCAGACCCTCTTTGCTACTCTGTGTGTCCTCATGAAAACAGGGTCTCAGGTATACTCTTTCAGACTACCGTGGTAGTTGCAGGAATAATCAAATTCAGTGCAATGAAAAGTCAAGCCACTTTCAAGTTGATTTACACTCAACACAGTGCTCTTAATAAGCATTGCCCCGCCCCCCTGGTAGACCCGAATGCAGCTTGCTTTATGTCGAAGAACACGAAGATGACTCACCCTGTGTTGGCCAGCTGTGTGCTGCACTAAAGCAGGTGTCATTATTAGGTGATGTATCTAACAAATAGCAGTCATTTAAAAGTAAAAAAATAGAAATGATGAAAGTTATGCAACAAACAGGTGATATAATCTGCAGCCACAGTGATTCGCTGCAGTGTGCATCATACACAGAAAGTAAAAGGCTTTTAGCAGCTTTCTGCTCCTCTCACTCACACTGCAGTCCATCAGGATCAGACTTATTGCTGTAATTTAGCACCTGTTTTGGGCTCTGCTGCTCTGCCATCAGCATTACTGAGCTGCTGTGAGGCTGTTTCTGGAGGATTAAACGTCATCTGTAACTGTTTCGCCAGGGCAGCTCAGCAGGTGAGCTGGTTTGAAGTGTCACATGACAGGCCACCAACTAGCACTGCAGCCTACTCAACTTAACAGAAACACCAAGTATCCATTTAGAAGCAATCAGTCCTTTGCACTTTTTTGACCAACAGGATGTGTATGTTTGTGCAACAAAGCTCTTGATTTGGCCTAATTACACTTTTAACACTGCAGGCATTGAACCGAGGAGTATTTTTAAAGAAAGATGCAATAACAATTGCTAAAAAAGAAAAAAAGTTTAAGGAACTCGCTTTCTATTTCTCTAAGCCATGTTTTCTTTATAACCCTGACTGGGAAAACAGCACAGATCCAATTTAAGAGGTTGTTTAAAAACAAAACATAATCAGTTAATGAGCACAAAAACACTGATGTTAAATAGCTTGCTCGCTACGCCGTGTTCCTTTTCAGACTTAGTGTATTTAGCTCTGTTTGTGATGATAATATATGTCTGTTTCTGCTTGTGTGTGTGTATGTTTGTCTTCGTATAAGTTCAATCGAATGCCACTTAACTGTCAATCAGATGTTTGCATGGCTGGTCTCAGTAGATTGCAGAAAGGAATGGGAAGAATTGACGTGAAGTTTTTGGATTGCCTTGGTTTCACGGACCTCTCCTTTGTTTTGAAAATGAGAGGACTTCTGAGAATCAACTGTGATTGCAAGCAGTTGTGTAAAATTTAAACAAAAAATGTGCTTAAAAATAACAATTCCATACTATTCAGCTGAGGAATCAGTTTTCAGTTTTTAAAGCAAATGTTGATTGCACAGGTCTTTAATTTAATGTAGCAAAAAGTAACCAATGAAAACATTTAATCCCCAAATCATTTAATGATTTTAGTCAAGGGTACAGCTATAGTTAGCTATAAATTTTGTGCCCCTGTGTATCCAGTKCTACAGCTTTTGGTTATAGATGGCAAAATAGAGAGAGAAACACTTTTAGGGTTTAGTTAAAACCTCACTTGCTTAATAAAATTTATCAACTAGAAGAGCTTGCATGTGCAAATTGTGTTGCTCTAACTCGATGTCCATGTGTAGCTATCTTTTGTCTCTTCACAGTGTAAGACAGTGCATGTTTACTTTAGGGAACTTTTTGTTCTACATAATGTTAAGAAACAGAAGGTTGCTGTTGTTGGTTGACTAAAGAAGAAGAAGAAGAAGACAATAAGGAACTGTCAAATCTTTTGGCCTGCTAGTCAACATTGGTCAGTAAATGTAACCAAAGAAAGAGGTCTTTAGAGTTGTAGTAAAATCAGAAAATMTAAAAAAGTAAATCTATACATATAAAAAGGAATGTTTTATCTACGTATAGGAAATTGCGATACTGCCATTCATTTTATGTAGTGTTCGTTGATGTTAGCCAATATGTTACAAAACATCTTCAGGTAACCATTGGCCTTATAGATGTTCTCTGATGGTAGAATATATGTTTTTCAAAAATAACACCACAGCATAGCTGTCTGTCTCCAGTGTTCCTATTGTTATGTCTGTTGTGTCCTTTTGGCACTTTATTGTGTGACCTATGGATGCATAGGTTAAATTTCTAATTACTTGAGTAATGTCATATATTTCTGTGTGTTCTATGTGAGGTACTGCTGCCTATGGATATAGATATGTGCCTCTAACAGCCCACGACATTCATTTGATTTCAAAATTGAAAGTAGATATATTATAAAACTATGTTTTAAAATGTGTGTGATGTGTAAAAAACAGAATCTATATATATAATATATCATAAATGTGAAACATTTATTTTCATCATCAATCTTTGAGGCTCTACCTCAGATTTTGTATTTATGTATAGAAATGCAATTGGATTATAGTATCTTTGCCAATAATATATCGCTATTATATCATGAAATGTATAACTTACAAATCAATAAATAAATGTTATTGTTTTTTTTTCTTTTTCTGTTGTCAGTGACTACTTTAAGGTCCGTCTGCAGAGCTGTATACWCTAACAATATAGGTTAAAACAATAAACCTTCTGAGATTCAAACCTTCACTCAACCTTTATAATCAGCTGACGAGTAAAAGAAGGAGGCTTTGTTCTGTGAAAATGTAACCCACTGTTTTGTTTTCTGGGAAATTATGATCAAAAAGGATGAGATGAGAAAGTGAAAGAGGATTTGAACACCCCTGCAGGCAAGTTGTTTGTTGGTACTTATGTTCATGTGCTCCCCCCACTGTGGCAGACAAGACTGCACACTTCACATCATACTTATTTGCAATTTAAATTAATTTGAACACAGCACACTGATTAGTGCTGTATATTGTACTTAAAAGTAAGAAGACCCCTGGCAAATAATAAGCCAGACTAGAGGTTTACTGACTAAGATCCTAGTTTGCACGACATTTTTATGTGAAACAACCATTTCTTCTGTGTTTTGACCGTTTGTGWACATGACAGTAGTAGGCAGTTTCTCTGAAACTCATCCAAGTCTTAAGGATTTGTTTACTCTGTTGGTCTTAACACACATAACAGACAGCTGTGGGCCAGATCTGGTGTCAAACTGGCACTGCTGGCATGACACCTGTTTTGTCAAGTGGTCTGGCRAAGATGACACTGTTTTTAAAGATGGCATTCCACAACTGGCCCATTTGTGGTTTGGTTTCATGTGGTGCTGGGCCATGCATGGACCACTTCTGGCAAACCACATCTGGGACACCAAAGGGCCCTCATTCTTTGCGGTACCCGAGCAAATAACAACTGGGCCAAGCGATTTTGCTATGTGGGAATTTTCAGTTCCATACAATTTGCTCAGATCTGATGATTTTTGTGTGGTTTGTTGCATTATAATGATGTCATGAATCTCCAGTGTAAACATTCCATGGCTGTGAAGTGACCCATATGAGCAAATGAAGACCTTGACGTCACACGCAACAGTCTTAGTTTACGCAACTAAATATGGACGCTACACATATTAGCATGCAATCCGACAACAACATTGGAATTAAATGTTGCTGCAGATTCATCCAGTACATGACAAAATTAATTAATTAATTAATTAATTTAAAAAAGAGAAAGTACCAAAGATCTTTTCTATAGCTGAAGACACATGGCGTTCCAAGCTTTGAACTGGATGACCTTGGTATCAATAACATATTTAAACTGAGCTGTATATCCCTACCTCAACGTTGCTAAAGTTGGATGAAATGCAACAGGACTCTTCAGATTATAGTTGTTTCAAAAAACACTGAATATGTTTCTGATTCAGTATCGCATACAAAAAAGACCTGGGTCAGATTTGAAAAAGACAAAAAATCTGAATAGAGCCACTTTTGAAAGAAGTGTGAACTTAGCTTCAGAGGTTTTTAGAAACGTCCAACATTGTTTCACGCACAACCACAAGTAACACAAATACACAAATGTGCATTACAGATGGCTTTAGTTAATATTTCCTGTGCTTGTGTGAGTAGATGAACTGTAAGAACATCAGATAAAATAGTGCTGTTTATATACAGTATATATA